TGACATCGGCCATGAAGTCATCCAAATCGACGTAAGTTCTATTCCCTAGCCATTTTTTCAGCGAACGGTTAGCGAGATAATCCATAGCAGTTTCTGCTGCTGAATATGGCAGATTTAGGGGCAGATCCCATTTCTCGGTTGGCTCTGACTGATTGTTCGACCGCCGAAAAGTTACTGAGATCGCGGAATGACTGTGCCACCTTCCAATCTTTCTCGAAGTAGTTAAGCCTAATTTAGCGAATATGCGTATGGTTTTTTGAGTATATTCTTGCAGAGGAAATCAATTAGATCATTTCTAGAAAACAACCCGAACTCTATATTCAAATTCTCGGGAGAAAAAAAAAAGCGAAAAAATCCACAATAATTATGCACCAACCTAATAATACTTAAGCGTCTTCGGTCTTTCCTGCTAGAAACTTGTTTATACTCATAGTGTTCGTCATATTTGCAGTAATCATAGAGGCTCTTTGATGTCAGTTTCAGGAGGATCCTACCACGCACTGATGAACTATGGCAGATAATGCAGTGCCGCAAATGGCGAGTGATGGCCAAACCGGTCGGTCGAAGGGATAGTATGGGGTCCAGAAAAATGCTGACCAGGACACTACTGACATGCACTATTGAAGTAAGTATTTTATGAAAGCTTACGATTTCTGGCGATGTGGATAGTTATTTTCAAAATCACTGCAACTTAGTTTTATACTTCGCTCTCTTATTACTGAGCAGTAACTTGATATGTCGGATTTCTGTAGGTCTGTTCGTCCGCGACCCCTAATAAATACAGTGATATGGAAAACCGACTACAAACTAATTTGGTACCAGTTAAGGATAAGCTCACAGGGATAGAGCTGGATACTGATTCTCCACTTTAGTTGCGATCAATCAATCAATGTCGATTTTCGACGTAATTGTCAAACCTAATGACCTTTGTCTTTCTCTACTTTCCACCCTTCGTATTCCACTCAGAACATCGTGCGAACTGTTCTCCTTCCCGAAGAAATACTCGATTGACCCGTCGATCGCTCTGAACGTATTTGGTTCTTCCAAGCTCCCCTTCCTCAGTTGTTTGTTGATAGTTGGTTAATTTACAGTGTCTGTTCTCTTCAGAAATTTCGTTTCCGGGAATATATCACTTGCTCAGGATTCAAAGATCTTTTGATGATGACTAAACTCCCTTATCTGTAGGGTTCATCGGCACTGCAACTTTTACAACTGCACTGGCTAACATGATGAGTTGACCGAAATTTGTAATGCTGCTTATTAGGGTTTTATTTCCAGCTATGGATATCACTACTATGAGATATCCATGGTCAGAACTCCATGGTATTTTTTCTCATACAGATATGAACCATCGCACATTATTCTCTGATTTAGGTGATCGGATTGGTTCCGTTGCAACTGAAATGGTTCCTCGTAATTCCTGTTGAGTTGCAATCTTTGATACTCAGTAGCGATGATCTAGTAGCAAGAAATAATTGAATTCTGTCTTTGTTGTACTACAATCTGACTTTAATTAGCTCTTAGAATCAATTTCAAGCGCAAGCAATAAATGAACCTAAATGAGTCTCTTTACACAACTCTGTCATGCCACCATTGAACCCTTTCTATTAAACCCGCTAACCAATATTTCTTGATATTGAAAAAGCTTGATCCCAGAAGGCAAAGACCACAGAATCCGTTACTCCCTTCTTGTTACGACGGAACCCTGGTTCTAGTTTGAAAGATGATGTAGGGCGCAAAGGAACTGCTAATGGTTGGTAAAAAGGACTGATAAGAACGCTTAGGAACTGACAAGGAGCTACAGAAGGTGAAGTCTCTGAAGTGATTACACTCAAACTGTTCACCGATCGACGGTAAATAATGGTTGAAATTGTTGATTCATGGTGGAAGGGACTGATAACAAGTGATAAGTTTTGAACCATAGTCAGCCATAGTTGGCAAGAATCACTCAGACTGCGTAACGCACTGCGTGTTAGGAGTGGAGCCTTGGCATTCTGGTGAGTTACGTGGATTGTAAGAGAATCGTAGGTGACAGGAACTGATAACGGCTGATAAGGAGCTGTAGAAGGCAAGAAGTTGGTGGATCCGTTCGGGTTGATAGAGGAAACAAACGCGGTGGAGAGTGATGTGGTTTTGGCGGGGTCTTCAGTGGTTGATGAAAATAATTTGTAGCAACTGATAAGCGCTGATAATTGCCACTCGATCACAGTCTCTCTTCGTGTGATAATGAAGCATTGCCACTCCGTGTTATGACTATAAATGAATATGAGTATAAATGTGACCGGATCGCAGATAACTCATAACAGAAAGCGATCCTTTTAAGGCTCCTTATCAGTTTTTATTGATTGTTGTCACTTCATATCACCTAGCATCAGTATTCCTATCCTGCCGCCTATCTCCCTTCTAAATTCGAATGCTGTAGCTACAGTGGGACAGGAGTTATGAATTACCGGTTGGACAAACACGCACACATACACACAAACACACCAACAGACACACTTAGGCAATTATACATATAACCAGTCGGATTGCCCGGCTATTGCCAGGCATCCTCCTTCATTGGCGAAGTTGTAGTAATCGGCTAACTATCCACCCCTTCTTTGAAACAATATTTTCCTGTACACGAAGTTTGACACAGGGCTAACAGGACATTGCAAATGGTATTCAGTGAAAGTCGGTGCTTATGCCTTCAATTGGGAGTCTCGAACTTTTGCTCTCGTTCTTAAAGATAACTACATAATAAATATTGAACTATCAGGTAACCAAAGCTTGGGTGGTACTTACAAATATTTCGTGTGATGATAACACCATTATCAGATGTTATCAATGAGGCTTTTTCTTCACAGAGATAACATCAGTGAAGAGTTCCAAATAACTGGCGGTCGGTCAAGTTTTGTCGCAGACGGTATCGAACAATGAAGTTCCTTCATCAAGTCACAGACCTTGCTGTGTAGCAGTCGTAATCTAATGGCAAGAAATGAACAAAATTCTAATCTGCTTATCATAATGCCGCTAATGGGACCCTATAACTGCACTTACTCCTTTTGTCGCCCTACTCTACCATCTCTTCTTATCGAATGAAACATACTGAACAGCCAAAGCTACATCGTAAATACCGAAGGGTTAAAAATTTGATCGGTAGGTGGCTCTTGCTCTCTTAGGCCCCCTATCTTCTTTTATGAGCTAGTACCGATTCCTGTCACCGAGAACCTAGAATCCCGTCACATCCTACACCACTTATTAAAATGCCAAGTTTCCACTGTTAACACCAAAAGCTGTAATCATACCATACTTGAACTCTTTAGGTCTACAGAGACAGAAGCTACGAATTTCCGCTCAAATGTTTACTTTGCACAAACCCCGCCCCTGGGCAGAGTCTGGTCCCGCTACCTGCCATGAGTTCTCATCCGTCTCGCCGTATTCCAACCAAACTTGAACTCTCTAGGTCTACGTAAGCAGGAGTTAAGAATTTGCGGTCCAAAATTCCTATCGCGCACGCCCCGCCCATGCCATGAGTGTACCCATCCTGCCCCCCCCCCCCCNCCCCCCCCCCCCCCCCCCCCCCCCCATTACTACTGAATTTGAACTCTCTACGTCCACGGGAACAAGAGTTTTGAGTTTCCGGTCGGACACACACACCGACACACCAACAGACACACTAAGCGAACTATATAAAGTAGGATAAGTAGGATTCTTCATAAACAATTGTATACGTAGCCCTATTTAAGCCTCTTACGAAGGGTAGGATTCATCCATTCGCTCAGTCACCTATCTTCCATCCTAGAAGTTACAAGCACTTTTAACGACTTTTCCAACAGCAACAGATAATCACGAAGTTGGTTTGCTTAATGTTGCATCTTTGTGTTTGGGTCTCAGCTCAAAGCAATTCTTTAGGAACAGATGACATTCCTGAAGCTCTACTCGATGTTTTTGCCGCTACTCGTTTTCACTGCTACAGTGGAGAGTATAAAAATCAAGGTCAGAACACGGATGGTTCGAATAATCAAAGAATTGTGGCCTAGATATTGTTCGATGGAGGATATAAGGCACTGTTCTGCGAATTCAGGATCTCCCTGAAAACATTGATAAATAAGACATTTTCGGTCAAATCCTCAAACGACCCTGCACGGTCCAGAAAGCCTATCCATCACTCCAAAGATGATCCTTTTTGTAAGCTATGAATAGAATGAGCTTACGGCATTTTTGGTACTAGTTACTTGCAAAGGCGAACTGGTCTCTTTCATATGGCAAATGCTACCTAGTAATTCTTTTGAAACAAGCCACTAACACAATGTGGTAGATTGCCGACACGTTGACGATCACGCTCTTTCACTCTGCGGAAAACACCCTCCAGAGTACTGCAACCATCCCACCGTGCCCTTCCCACGTTTCTGATTATGCCTAAGGATGCTGATCTTTCTACTGATAAGTGTTCATGATAAAGAAGACAATTGGACACAAGTGAAGAAAATCACAAGGGGCGGGATGAGGGGAGTGAATGATTGTGATTACGCATTTCTGTCGCTAGTGAGCCTGTAACCCCGTCCGACGGATTGCACTGGGACCGAGCGACCGAGCAAACAGTCGCGCGATCCGTCGCGCGACTGGTCGCTTGCCAAATCGTNGACTATGAAAGCAGCCATACTGAGATTTAGACCTTGCAAAGCTCAAAGGCACTACAGAAAGGTACGGTTCCGGAATTCGGTATTTTCAGGTTTACTGGGGTGATGACAACAGGAAGTGCGCTGCGGCTGGTGTACCTCCCAGCGGTACACTTCGAGTTCACAGAATATGGGCGGTGTTTTTCGACAAGAAATCCAAACTTATCTTGCGTATAACTTCATGGATTCAACATCCCAAAACTATAATTGGCGGCATTTTAGATGACGAATACAAAGGGAACGTTACGGAAAACCTTAGTTTTGGAATGTTTTTCGGTGTTATTCGTGCTACGAACTTACGCAGAAATGAAAACCTATTCACCAATTACGTACTCGTCCATGAAAATTTGTTTGAACCTAGTCTCGTACCTCCCGGTACTGGTAGTGATTTCTCCGAGATGTACCATGGAGCTCCATTTGTCCTAAGAATTCATATCTTCGAATTGAAAGAAACAGGAGAAGAAAAAGAAATCTCGTAAGAAACAGTTCCTTTCGAAGAGTCATTTTAGGCCAAATAAAGCTTAGGTTTTTGCAGATTGTTCACTATCGAGAAGTGTGGTCGAGATCAAAAATGGATTGCCAACGAGGGTTATTACCGACTTGACGTCGATACTGGAGAACTCCTACCTATTTATTATAATCCCACAAAAACGGATTTTTATTACTAAGTAAAGGCTACTAACTACTGAACGTAAAGGCTTACAGTTGTATTGTAAAAGATGATACAGCAACTGAAATGGGACAATGGCCTGAAGAAATTTTGAAATCAGAAGCTACTCACTCTTTAGGCCGAGTGAGTATGTAGCTATCAATATTGAACATGAGACGACATAAAGCCACTCACGCTCACGGTTCCCTTCATAGCACTCGCACCATGAAACCCTGTCTTGCCAATGAGGTCAAGAAAGACTTCGATACAGTTCCATAAGCAAATTCGATCATTGGACCACGGCTTGGAGTAGATTAGTAAGCTCTGCTGGTCCCATTATCTGCTCTACTCCACCTATTATAAGGTTGAGTCATAAGTCCTCGGACAATGTGATAGTGATGATTTCTAGAGATCATAACCCAGGAAAGGGGTGACGAAAATGGANACGCGAGGCATCGTTAGATAGAGCATAGAAAGCTCTTCTGAATGCATGCTAACGAATACACCTGACCGTTTCCTGCGCTCGAGCGTGAGGAGAGAAAATGCCATGTCGGCGCGAAATCCACGTCATACTGCTTCAAACCATGAGGCATCCATCGACCAAGCTTTCACACTTTGCCGATTGACTTCAATCCACGAATAATTGTGGACTGACTCCCCAGGAGACTGCCAGCTCACGAGTAGTATGGTACGGATCGGCTTCCACCCGGCTCCGCAGCACCTCCAAATCCACTCCATTGAGCGTCCCGGAAGATTTTCACCTTCGATGGAATAGTCGTCCGACGCGAACTTCGTGTGTCACTTGTATATTGTGCATCTTGCAGAAGCAACCTTCTTGTAAACCCCCTTAATACGTCCATCGATCTCCGCCGGTTCTTGGCCCGATAAAAAAAAGGAATAGGATGGTGTTGCAGAGGTGAAGTTGCGACGGGTTGAAATCATGGGGCATGGTTGCAGGAAAGGAAACAGTGAGGTGTGTTCGTTAGTGTGCATTTTGAAGAGCTTTTCATGCTTTATCTAGCGACCAGTTCACTGCTTCATATACATAAAGAAGGAAGTGTAGAATAGAGCTAGGTTTTCCATGTCACTACCTTTATCATAACCATAAATTTCTCGGACGGACAGACATACAAACCGACAAACCGACACACCAAGTTACTGCTTCATAAATAAGAAAGATACCTCGCCCGTCCATTTTCGTCTCTTCTTTCCAACGTCATGATCTCTAGAAGTCATCACTACCATTTTGTCCGAGACTTATGACTCAACCTAATACATTTGTCCAGTAACAACATCGCTCTTCGCCAGAACTTATCCTTAAGCTAGATGTTCCGATCACCGATATTATGACATACTCCCTGGAAAGCACAGTTACCAAAGCTGCTTCTAAGCTCCTCTTNTTATAAATAAGAAAGATACCTCGTCCATTTTCGTCTCTTCTTTCCGGAGTCATGATCTCTAGAAGTCATCGCTACCATTTTGTCCGAGGACTTATGACTCAACCTAATACATTTGTGCAGTAACAACATCGCTCTTCGCCAGTACTTATCCTTAAGCTAGATGTTCCGATCACCGATATTACGACATACTCCCTGGAAAGCACAGTTACCAAAGCTGCTTCTAAGCTCCTCTTACATCATATTCCAGGTGGAATACGCCCACTGATAGTCTAGATGAACCGTAACCTATTCTCTCCATTATTTTGTGGCCCTGGACAGCCCTCAAATGACCAGTGAAGGAAAAATGGCTTGCATGAGTGAAGCTTTCATGAGCAACAAGACATGAGGGATGATGGCTTGATTATGGCCCCACAGAGAAGCTTTGAGTAGGTAGCAAAGATGAGAGGTTTGATGTGAACTGTTCAATGCGACTACTGCTGGTTGCTGTTTTGGAAAATGTATCACTATAGCAAAGAGCATCGTAAACAGCTGTATATGTAGCCCTATTTAAGCTTCTTCCGAAGGGTAAGATTCATTCGTTCGCTCAGTCGTCCACCTTCCAACCTACAAGCTTGTTCTTCTCGCTACACGTACTAGGAATATCACTCGTAACAACACTTCCAACAGCAACCGATAACTGCAAAGTTGGGTTTGCTTCATATTGCATCGTTGTGTTTTGGTTTCAGCTCAGAGCAATTTTACAGGGACAGATGGTGTTTCTGGAGCTCCACTCGATGTTTTGGTCGCTAGTCGCTTTCGCTGTTACAGTGGAGTGTATGAAGCTCAGGGTCAGAACACCAATGGATTTCCAAGATAAGATGGCCCAGACATTGTTCGGGGAGGTTATGAAACCCTAGTTGCCAATTGAAGATTTCATCTGGGTGGAACATCAATAAACGAGAGATTTCTGCCCAATCCTCCAACAACCTTCCACTGCTTAGAAGGTCTATCATTACTTCAACGGCCTTTCATGTTGCGTGGTCAGAAAAGATCACTCAGACGACTTTTTCGGCGCTCCTTACTTGCAAAGGTGAACAGGTGTCCAGTCCGTAGCAGTTGCTACCTGGTACTTTGAAGCAAGTCGTTATCACCATGTGGTAGATTGCCGATCGGAGGGGTTGTGTTCGCCTTCATGAAGTAATCCGCTCAGATGTCATCTATAGTAGTAGCATTACTGGGAAAAGACCGGTGGAAGTGTATGATAAGCTTGATGTTACGTTGACGAAAACGCTCTTTTACTATGATGTAATGACACCCCTTGGAGGATACTCGCAACCACTCTATGGTTTATTAAATGCTGCCCACGAAGAGTATCCTTCAAATGATAAAAGTGCGTGATGATAAGGAAAAGGGGGAATAAACCTCAAGTATCAAAAAGGGCTGACGGGTACAAATGAGAAAGTTAGTGGCGCCCGATGGATGGATAATGAGCAGGTCGATAGAAAGGGACAGGAGGAGCTCCGAGAGAAGGAACACACTGGTGCAGAGAGCGAGAACAACTCGAACAGGGCTTAATGTCATCAGTCATCAGTCTCCATCAGTGTGTCACCACAATGTCATAAAATCGCTTCTAGCGGGCAATTCACAGTTAAGCGGTGTTCCTCACGATGGGAGGGGCGGGAAGGAAAAAGGAAGGATGGTTACGTTTGGTTACTGCCCACTTGTCGTGGCTTTACGCTTTTTACTCTTCCTCTACACAAAATCGTCTCTCATGAAGTGCTGTCTCTTACTGCTTGTTTGGCGTACCATGAACGACATTCGACGACATTTTATCGCAGAGGTGGTGTTCGCAAAGAAAAACCTTCGTTCACGGGTGATAATAATGTTCTTGCGATTCTGAAGCACACCTGCAACAGTCGAGAAAATGGGCCTGTCTGAAATATGAGGCTTCTGGCTGGGCTGTGCCACTTTGTCTCGAGGCATACTCCTCTCATGGGGTCAGTGTCCTCAAACTCGAACCGTATTTAGTTGAGTTCCATCAGAATGCTCTAGTTCAGTGAAGCTGGGAATGCCACACCTCAAAAGTAATTAGAGTATCGTGTGGTTTTGAGAATTCGTTATGTTTCAGTGGTACTTACATGGAGACAACAGGAAGTGCGCTACGGCTGGCATACCTGACAAAAGTACACTTCGAATGAACCGTTTCTTCGCGGTCGTTTTCGACAAGAAAACCAAGCTCATTTTGTTAATTAAAAATTTCGGATTTGGCGAAGGAGGTGGAACAGGCGGCTTCGTTACCGTGGAATTCAGCGGGAATGTTACGCAGAACCTTGGTTTTGGGATGTACTTGAGTTTAGTTCGTACTTCAAACTTACGCAAGAATGAAAACCTATTCACCAATTACCTACTCGGCAATGAAAAGTTAAATGCAAAGG